GGAACACAGGCAGGGAAGTTTCAGCCCTCACCCGTTCTCGTTCTCTCTTTCTGTCTGTCTTCTTATCTGAACAGACCAGTAACGTTTATTCGGCACTAGTTGTCATCTAAAAATAGTCCAATGCAAACTCCCACATAATTACACTATGCTGGAATTGATTCTATGCAGGAACTTCACACATTATAAAAATTAGATTTGCAGGAATCAACCATAATATGTGCAATCCCTGCAGTGAATTTCAGGCCCTGCAAGTGCTCTCACACTGTAGCTCTCGCGTTCTGCATTGAAACCAATTCCATCACCCATTTTTCAGAATCCCATCAACGTTTCTTTAGTTTGTTATTGCTGCAAGTTCATTCATGCTAAAGGAGTACAAGATTGCGTGAGAGTTCGCTCCTCCCGACACTAAGAGAACAGGAGGGGAGGGGTCAGCTGAGCTCCTGTGTAGCGGAGCACAGAGAGGGAGAGAGACGAAGTAAACGAACAAGCAGGACAATGAAAATGATCATCCTCAATTTTTTTATCGACCTCAAAATAATTTAACATGTGATTAATTGCTTTATTGACAATCGCGACAGGCCTAGCTGACGGTGCATCGGGCCTCGATGTAGCTGTAGCTGCTTGTCGTCCTTTACTGCCTTTACTTGCTATTGTTTCCCAGCAGTGTTCCCACATTATTTTTTAGTGCTTTTCCAGTTTCATAATTACAAACAAGAGCCTTTAATACATTTATTAATCCAATAGTTCTGCAGAGCTAAGCCTCAAGCATCCTACTCCATAGCTTGCTCAACAGTGCCCCCCGTTCTTCTAATTTCTGCTTTTTTGCGCTTCTTTCAGGTTTTCAAATTGAACTTGCATTAACTTTTTGCTATGAAATATTTTCAGCTTTACTTAAGCTTCTGCAGCAGCTTTCAGCTTAAGTTTTAAGCAAGAAGCATTCACACTAGCATTTTTGCAGGAAATGCAATTTTTCTAGTTTTTTATTTTTTTCCTGTTTTACTTTTATTCCATTTTCCTATTTAAGGTATAATTTAAAGGTTTGTCAAAACTTGGAGAGATATGGTATGTAAAAAAAACAAGCATATTTTAAGAAGGACCTATCTGAAGCTGCTTGCTAACTTCCTTTTCTCTTTTGTGTGTTTTTTTAAAGGGTATTCCTTCCCAAAGAGTCAATCCAGGATTCCTAAAAGGTCAGCAACCTCAGAACCATTCTCTCACTACCAACAAAGTGGACCCATTGCATCCCATGCTCAGCACAACTTCAAAACTGTTGACACCTGAGAGACTTGAAAGTCATGAAGGATGGTGCACTGAAAGCTGCGTAAATGCAGCTTCGTTCACATCTGCAAAGATGTCTGAAAAAAGAGGAGAGAGGGACTGTTGCCCAGTGGTGCCTACAGAATTTCTTTTGTGTGGGTGTGTGTGGGTTTGTGTGTGTGTGTGTGTGTGTGTGTGT